AATAAGAGAGAAAAAGGTGATTCAGTCTCTCTGCTTTTTCATGCTGGGGCATTTCTGCTGAAAATGCTACTCAGTGAAGAGCTGAAGTGATGGCTTGTATCAGGATGCTTCTGGCCCAAGGCAATCATTTTGCTGCTGGTTCACTGGGTGGTTTTCAGATGGCAGGTTCTTTGGGACAGTGTAGCGCTCTTCATGCAGTTAATGTGTTGCTACATTTCTTAACAACTTCAGAGCTCTTGCCAAACTTCCTAAAATTCAAGGTAAGGTGGTTGCATTTCCCAGAAATGATGATTTACACAGCCTCACCCCTCATATGTTACCAGCACTTTGTAAGAGGAAGAGCCATTTAAACTATTGCCTTCTCTTTCTCCCACTAAGACCTAGTGCAGGAGACACTGCATTGAGAGGAGGTGCTAACGTGTTTATATCTCACAGCAGCACCACCCTGAAGTTCAACAATGGATGAGCAGATGGAGGAAAAAGTGAGAAGGCTCGTTACTGCCACTCCAGCAGTCTCCCAAGACCCAGGTAAGGACTGAGCCCTAAGGTTTGTTTTTTTTTTACAGCAGTCCCAGACTCCTCTTTCAGAATGTGCCCTCTCACAGCAGCATGCAGCATCATCCCAGCTCTACTCACTCCCCGGCAGGTCTGCTCCCTCCGTCAGAGCTATTCCCACACACTGGGTAGTACCAGCCTCCCTCTCTCTAGCCCTGTCTCGCAGCTTGTCCTCCTCCATTTGTACCTCCTCAGACCACAGTCTACAAAACTGTTACATGGTTTCATTGGAAATAGACTGGAGGGTAGGATAGCTTTGAGACGGTCTCAGCCACTTTTTGGCTCATAAATGTCACTATTTTCAATACTCCATATACACCTCACTGTATTTGCTCCTCTAGTAAGACGAGGGAGGTAGTAAGTGTCTCATTTTAAGAGTAAGGAAGTGAGGGCAGGAGTAAAGTGAAAGACAGGATCGCTAAGATAGGTACCTAGGATGGCCTTTTTGGACAACCGTGTGTTCACGGGGACTGGCGATGTTCCTGGGTGACACTGCAGCAGCAGGACATGTGCTGTGCAGATCTGAAATCCGCTGTGGGAGGCATCCTTTGCAGTACACGTGCCCAGATCTAATGCACCCTGCTGTGGTCTAATGAGTCATCCCATCTTGTGAATCCAGCATGACAATCGCTTTCCAAACAGACTTGGTGAACTGCGGCTGAAGGCGTAAACAGTTTTGGACTGTTTAATGTTATTTGGTAACTAACCAGTGTTAAATAAAATCATCATTATCCATCTCGGTTGCTCTCAGGAGGGACAAAGCTTTTGTGAACAAAACACGGGGTGAGCTGCAGGGGGCAGAGGGCCTCCTCGAAATTCTGGTGCTGGCCTAAGGGAAGTCCCTGGGAGGGACGCTCTGTCTGATCTGGCACGGACAGAACTGAGGCGTGACAATTTTATTCTGTTCTGCAGGAAATCTTACCAAAAGAAAACTCCCAGTGTTGAAATCAGAATGAAATGTAATTTCATTTTTTCCCCTATTATATTGAAAATGCAATAACATACTCAGTGACTGTTTAGTTTACATAATACTTCATACTATTTCAGTTTTACTGAGTTCATTTTCTGAGGAAAAAAGATTTTTGAATTCTGCAAAAATGATGAAAAAAATTCTAGACCACACAGGCTTAAGGAGTTCATTGAATAAGGTAGGAGATTTGAAGACTAAATCATAGATGTAACTGCAACTCTCAGTGCCTTTAGTGAAATTAGGTTAATTTCCTTCCAAAAATCCACTATTCTGCCTGTGGGTGAACCCTGTGCTATGGGCAGCGCTTCATAAACTTGAGGTTAGCATATGTTTAAACTTCTGTAACAATAATCTGACTAATATTAGGGATAGTATTTTTTTAAATATGTGCCTTTTTTATCTCATTGTTTAATTTCATAGTTCTTTGGGAAATTGCACTGAAATCTGCTTCATATAAAATTCCTCTGTCACATATGTGCAGTACTTTGCTACTATAGCTATCATGAATTAATATTCATGATGGTGCAGTCTACATGACGTAGTAGAATACCATGGAAAAATCAAATTAGAACTGATAAAAGGCACACAACAGGACCTATGTAGGCACACTGGGCATTCTACGGCCAGGGATCTTCTCTCCTTTGCCATTTGAGACTCCTCTATGATGACAGAAAGTAGAAACATTCTAGAATTTCTTTACTTGGCCTGAGCACCTGAAATCTTTGGGCTGTGTTTACTGTGGCTTTTAACTATGCAGGTGACACTCATCTGTGGCTGTAAGCAACTAGAAATGCAAGGGCATGGACATTCCTCTTTATTTTCACAGTGCGGGTCAAACATAAACTGAACTTGAAATATTGGAAATCGTGAGAGCGTACATACATTCCCACTAGCCATGTATATTTATGAAGCAGTTATAGTATATACAAGGAACAATGACATTCTTGCTTTGCGGTAAAGGCAGAAGTTGGAATTTTTAATGTTTTTTAAATGTAAAGCAAAGATAGAAGATTGCATTAGTTGAATTTAAAGCAAATATTGTACATAATATTAATGGTATCCTCAAGGAACTTCTACTAGGTAACAGTTCTCTAGTGACATATAATAACATCTTGATTGTTCTCCTTCCTAAAACATTTTATTGTATTTTGGTTTTAGAAATCAGAAACCTCAAAATTCAATTTTTGAATAACATTTCAGAGGAATCTGATTTGCATAAAAAAGAAATATTAACTCTGCCAATTCCTGCTTTTTTCCCTGCCCAACATCTGGTTTATATAGCTTCTTAATATAGTACAGGTATTGTGATAATAGTGAGGATACAAATTATGTGCATTTTGTTCTTGAGTATGTGTTTATTATATATAGCTGTGCAAGCATTAGAAATGTATAGAAAACTACTGGATATACAGGTTCCCACATGAAACATCAAAAACCATCTTGGATGCAAATGTGAAAGCACCAATAATGATCCAGTTGTTTTGCTTCAACACAAACGAAATAGGCATGTTATGTTTCAGGTCTGGATATGATTTCATTTATACTGAACTTTCCATCTTCCTGTTGACTATTGAAGTCAAGGGCCACTGTGACTTCAGGATTTCAGAGTGTTTTGCCAGGAAGAGTCACCAGTTGCAAGTACTGGATGTGCCAGAAGCAGAGAGGGTCTGAGCTGTTTCCAAAGAATTTAGGCCTTTCTGCTCCAATTGTAAATGGCAGCTGGCTTGCTACCCACAGAGAGAGATGAAAACATATGGCACGTATCCTGTCATTAGTTATTTAGTAGATTGGACTTCTGGTACCTATTTGCCTACAAATCACTATAGCCCAAGACTTTGCTGAACCTTTTTGTCTCAGAAGAGAGAAAATCTTTCCCTTGGACTGTATCAGATCGGAATACATGGTCCATGTATTTGCATGACGATTCCCAAAGAGCAAGCTAGATCCAGACATAATTGTTGAGGAGTATGCTGCAGATGAGACAGGAGGCTATGTGAATAAGCTCAAGACCTGTGCTGCTCTAGACAGGGGAGATACATATTTTTATATATAGACATGCACCACACTCAGAATGTCTTTGAAGTGGCAGTATCTCCTGTGAGTGCAGGTGACGATAAAGAGGCCGTTTTCAGATCAGGAAAGAGCTAATTTGGTGAGGCACAGATCCTCAGAAAGGCTGGAATACTTGTCTTGGAAGTAGCTCTTCTGATGTCTCATTTTAGCTGGATGAGACCTCTGGAAGTCATCTAGAATGACCCCTCCCCAAAGCAGGGCTAACTTGAAATTTAGATCAGGTTGCTCGGCTCCTTGTCCAGTTCCACTTTTGGGCCATTCTTGAAGACTCTCACACAGTCCCTTCTGTCACTGCAGGGTGTAGCTCATTCCTGGTACAGCCCCTGACCACCAAATAGGTGTTAACTACTCATCTACTCACTTCCCTTTTTCTGCCTATTTGTGTGACACACATATGTAAAACAGCACTAAGACCGATGTTTTCAATCCATTTGGAGCCTGTCAGGCCATATATTGATAACGGCCTCTAAGGAATAACATGCTGCTCCTCACAAAAAAACACACGGAGAGGTTGTCTAAACAGCACAGCAAGAAGCCACAAAAACCTCGAGGCAGAATGTGTTCTAAAGGCACGTCTGCAGAAAGATTATCTAATTCCACACAGGTGCTTCAGCTTGTGGAAACCCAGCTAGCGAACGAGTTTCTGTTTTGTCTCATGCTGTGATTCACGAGCAAGACTTGGACCCTGTTAACAGCAGACAGAGCCACCCCAGCCGGAGGAATGAATTAATAAATCGGTGGAATGCCATCTATTGGCACTCAGAAAATGCCTCGTTAGAGCTTTTCTGCCCCTGCGTCCCCTCGGCTCTTCCTTTCCGCCCCGAGCGCCCCCCGCCGCCCCCCGGCTCTCCCCGGAGCAAGCCGCTCGCAGCCGGGGGAGGAGGGGCGTTTTTTCGGAGGGGGGGGGCAACCCAGAACCTGGTTTCCCAAAAGTAGGTCTCTGCCACTACTGTGGTGCCCGCTCTGGAGGGAAACGCGGTCGTTCGAGCGGCAGTTTTGTCCGAGACGCGGGTTCGGCTCCGAGGGAAAGGAGGGGGATGTCCCGGTCCCTCGGCGCGGGTTTGGCGAATTGCCTTGGCCCCCATGTCAGGCTGGTAGGGTGGCAAAGAGGAGGTACATATATAAAAAAACAAACCACAAAACACCACCACAACGACAACAACACTATCACCACTTTTATCACCTGCATGTGCCTGGAAGGAGGCTCTTCCCTCTGCTGAGGGGAGAAAAAAAAATCAGCTTAGGAAAGCAAAGTTTGAACAGCGAATTCCTGTTATTTCAAAGCACCCCATGTGACAGGATATTTCCTTATCATTTCGAGCCCAGAGCTTTCCCCTGATCCGCCAGCCCTTCACAAGTGCGGAGGACCTGCCCGGCGGGAAGCCCTCTCCTCGCCGCGGCGATGGCTCCCTCCCTGCTCCTGCTTCTCCTCGCACTTCTCCCTCGGGTTTTTCCGCTGCTGGGTAAGTGCCCGCGGGGGCTGTGCGGGATGGGACGTGCCGGGAGAAGACCGGGGTCGAGGCGGGCACGGAGCCTAGCCCGACCTGGGGCTTGAAGGGCGAGAGAGGGAAGTGCCCGCACAGGTGGAGCAGCCCGCGGCCATTTTAACCCCCTCGGTGCTGCCCAAGGGGAGCCTCGATGCGGCGGGGCGGGCGGCTGAGGGAGGGCTACAGCCTCCCCTCGGGCTCTCCCTCCCACCGACTGTCTTCCCCTCCTCACCCGCACTGGGGTGGCCGGTGGGCAAAGCTGCATGACGAGGCAGTATTTTGGGTGCCTGTGGCATTGTGGGTGCCCAACATGACTGTCACTGGCGGTGACTCAGTTTCCCCCACTGCTCCGGGACTCAGTCCCTGATTGATTGAGCAGCATCACCCAGCTTTCCCTCAGATACCTCCTCACCGCTGATGTTTGCAGAAGGGCCCGGTGTTGGGGCTCTGCCTTTCCTCTAGTCCTCTGGTCTTCAGCGGGCCTGGGGACCTGCCTTGGGCAGATGGCTTCCATGGGGGGGTGTTAAGGCAGCTGAGGTATTGGCATAGATTAGAGCTGTGAATACAGGTGAAAGGTGTGTTTCTTGGTGAAACCTGGAGTTGCACCTGCTTGCACTGAGAGTTACCAGGATTTGCAGCGCACTGCTATTTTTCAGTGAAAGTTTTATATCCGTCCTTCCTGAAAGCCTCTTGGCATCCTCTGCTCTCCAGTCTGAGGTCTACTGAAGCATAACAACTTTATAACACTGCCTTGTAACCTTTCTCGCTTTGCGTAATTAGCAGCAATCATTGTAGGCTATCTGGTAAGTGAGAGTCTGCATGGAGAAGACAGTCATCCTCCCTGCTTGCTGCCTCGCTGCTCCCCCCTCTCTCACTTATGGTGTGATCTCCTGGTGCTTTCCATTAGTGTTTAACTCTGGTAGTGCTTCACTGCTTCATGAGTTACTTTTCGAGTTACACTCACATAATCTGTGATAGTTTGCAAATGCTGCAGAGTGTGAAGCTACCCTGGTATACTGGAAATCTCTACTGTGGAAAAGATACTTGGCCAGTGATGTTTTTACCGTGCATGGCACAATCCTTTGGATATAAGCTGGGGCCAGAGACAGGCAAATAGTCACCTTGTTGTGGGTGAAGAAAAATGAAAGCCTGTGAGAAAAATTCTGTTACGATCTACTTGGGACAGTTGAGGGAAAAGAAGCTAGATCTCTCTGGATGGGTTTTAAAGGTGGAGAAAGTTGGTTTGAACGGCTGGCACGTTCCTATGCATTTTAAAGGACATCCTTCCAGGAATAATTTTCAAAATATGGGTTAGTTTGTTAGAAATTGGTGTAATTCAAAGTACCAAGACTGTGGTACTCATGATCATACTGTAGTGGGCCTTTAAGTGTACCACCTACAGCTCATCTATAGTGAAGAACGGCACCCTGTTGTGGGAGCTCTCTAACAAATGTTGCTACAGAACAGTGGAACGCAGTGAATGGTTATGTGAGTAATTCTGCTTAGCCCATTTTAAAGATACAACTCGTCATGTTGACAGGAGCGCTATCCAGTGTTTACAGAAAAGAGTTGGCAGTGCATAGAAAGTGTTGTGCCAATACCTGGCTTGTTTTGTATTCTTCTAGACTATAATAACTCACACGGAAAGTGTTGTATGGGAATCCCCTTTGGTGTCCAAGCAGGCAGAACAAACACAGAAATAAAGCTGTAAACTAGAGCAATACAGGACCATGCTAGAATTCTTCTGCATGGTCATGGATGAGACAGGAGTAACTCTGAGGGGAAGGAAATCCTGCAGCTACAGTCTCAGCCACAGTTGCTCCTGCATCCTGCTACCTCCGTTCTGCCCTGTCTCGGTGCCAACTTATTTTCAATGCCTGCTCAGCTGTGTTGGCCCGTTAGCTGCTTACCTGTGTATTATTCCCTGTCAGAGCCCTGCATGTGCTGGGGCCCTTGTATAAGTAGCTGTGTTGCATTTACACACCGCTAATACTTTGTAAAGGTGCAGTCAGAATAGAAGAGGGCCAAAGATTTGTCTTCCCCTCCACTGGCCAGACTTTTTTGTTCAGCTTTCTAACCTTGTTTCTGAAGCCAAAACTCTACACCCTTTCAGGCTTGGATGCAGCAATCCAGGCTTTTGACTCTTGAGTAACCTTTGTCGTGTGCATAGCATCTTTTCTTTAACACCATAAGCTGCATAAAATAAGGAATGTTATACAATTTTAGCAGTTTGAAAGATCAGGCAGTGTTTTCCACACATGTGAAAATGTCTGACATCTCTTACCCAGAAACTTTAAATAAGATTTCAGGAATAAGAGAGTTGCAAGCATTGCATATATCAGTTTACAATAACATTGTGCTAAATGCTAATAGAAAAGCAGAAGAAAAAAAGTTATCACCAGCAGTGATAATTATGCATTTCCTTGTATTGTCTTTGAGTAAAACAGATTGGCAAAAGGCAACAATTTCTGTCTCCAGTGCTCATCAGTTTTACACTACTTCCCAGTGAGCTGGAAGCCAAAGGACAGGAGAAGGAAACCGAGCCATGGATGAGATAAGTCTAGGTCAGCTCTTTCTCTGAGAGAGAGGTTATTTGTTCTTCTGCAGGAAAGTATGATCATTTCCACATCAGAGCCTCAGCAGTGATAGGAAAATTTTCTGTGGTTAACCTGTTTCCCCCTTAAATATGTCTCCATTATAATGGAGACATATAATCTCTTTAATTTGGTAATCATACACTAAAATAAATAATGTTTTAATTAGCTTCAATTAATGTGCCGCAGAGGCACATAAATTACTATTTCTCTTCCTAGCTTGTAGCCCAGTTAAAATACAGTTTTAGGACTTTGTGCATCCTGTTACATCATGTGATCCAATATCAGAGAGAACTATTGCGTTACTGTGCTGAAACGTGTCTCAAGGGGATCATAGAGGAGAAAGTCTCTGGGCAAGACCATCCCAGAAATGTTGCACTCAGTAGCACATCCAAGCATAAGAGATGCTAAGAAGTTTTCTAGTGGTTACAAATTTGAAATAAACCTTGAATACATGAAAATGCATGCTGTGAAGCACTATTTACTACGAGGGAGTGATGACTTTGGGAGCTGTGAAGACCCTTGTAGATTTTCCTAAGTCATTAAGAGGCACACTTGGTGATGGCAAATCCCACTGCTGTCGGTGTTTTGTTTATAATGGAGAAATGTAAGAAAGGAGAAAGAAATCACGGATGATTGCAGTTGAGTGAAAAATGAATGTGCTGTTCTAGCCCTACAAGTAGCTTGTGTATAAAGTTTAAAAAAATGTCCTTCCCCTCAGCTAAGACTTTAAGGATTTTAGCAGAGCGCATGGGCACAGAACTCCGCGCTGTGGGGAAACAGAGTCTGAAGGACTCGGTGGCTGTTGTCACCTCCTCGCACCTGAGAGCCAGGCTCAAGGAGCCAGCGCTGCTGCAGAGCTCAGGGTCAGGATCTGCAGTGTGTGATGTATGTGCTCCCTTGTTTCAGTAACTCCTGCAGGTGCAGCTTGGAATGATACCATGAGCATGTTTTTCCTCTTCAGTTTAACCCCTGCTTTAAAGCTACAGGAGGCACTAGATCTGCATCCCTGCTGCCTTGCTCTTTTGAGGGTTGGTGCTTTCATCGATGCAAAATATTTGAAACATCCTCGAATCTGGACTAGTGGCATTCTAGTCGCTTTCATAGGTGTTTGCCACAGGAGTACTGCACCTGCTTTTGATGACAAATGGTGAGGTTTTAACCCCAAGAGTAGTGTCCAGATTCATATTTCATTTAGCTAGTAGGCAAGATTGCTTCAAACCAAGTGATTCCAGTGTTTTTTATCTTACAGATACTAGCATCTTCTTAATATACAATGAAGATCACAAGCGCTGTGTACTGGCTCAAAGTTCTAATTCAGTGACTACTGCTCCTTGCGTTCAAGAAAATGAGTCACAAAAATTCAGGTGGGTCTCAGATCACCAGCTTATGAGCGTAGCATTCAAATTGTGCTTGGGAGTGCCTTCGAAGAAAGACTGGGTTCCGATCACTCTGTATCCTTGTGACAAAGCTAGTGAACTTCAGCGATGGGAATGCAGAAATGAGACTCTCTTTGCAATCCAAGGGGAAGATTTGTTTTTCAACTATGGAAACAGACAGGAAAGGAATATTATGCTGTACAAGGGATCTGGTTTATGGAGTAGGTGGAAAGTCTACGGAACCACAGACGATCTGTGTTCTCGAGGCTATGAAGGTAAAGTTCTGTAAATTAATTTCTGTATTTCAAACTCATTTCTATGTATAACTAATAAAAGTATTTAGAAATGTAGGAGAATTGCCTTCATCTCGTTAATGATCACTGAGGGTGACTTCTATGAAATCAGCAATACTCGAGTATGTGTTTTGTGGGGTTTTTTTGAGGAGTTCATTTTGTTTTTTTGTCAAAGTTGTCAAAATTCTGATAGATAATTAACCATGCATGGTAATGATTCATTTGGAGAGGGGGAAAAATGTCTGTGGTTATTCAGAACACGTACACGTTATACATAACTATTACCCATCAGTTAATGATAGGTTTTAGTATTTATGTGGGTACAGAAAGACATAGTGTAAGTGTATAGTCTGTTGATTATACTGTGGTTTTTTGTTTTGTTTTGTTTTGGTTTTGTTTTGTTTTGGTTTTTTCTTTCCTTGGGGAGCAAATATGAATTATGTTGTAAGGATTTAGTTAACTCTTGGTATCTCCAGCTCCAGTATATGAAGATGCCTTCCTAGGTGTTTGAAGTGAGTATCAGAGTTGGTGCTGAAGTGTTAGACAAAGAAATAAGATACGTTAAATAGTTAAATTTGAAAAAATTATGTATGATACATACATACATATGTACATATATTTATCATAAGTACCTGGGAAAAGGTTTCGCTTCCCATTTAGTATTCTTCGATAAACAGAAATGGTCACAGAGGGAGATGTGGGTGCATTTTCTGTGGTTCACACAATGGCTGATTACAGTGCTAGCAGTGCTAGTCCTTGGCCTAAAGGCAGAATAAAGGAACCCTAGCAAAGCAAATCATGTGAAAGGAGGCAGGTGGGAGATGGCGTGATGGCCTGCTATTCCTTTCTCCTTTGTTTTCTAGCAGCTCCCTGAGACAGTGACCATGGTATGTCACCTCTCTAGCGGTCCCTGACAAGTAGTGTTCCTCTGCACGTCCTCCCATCCATGCATGTACATTACATGTGGACACACAGAAAACTGCTTTAGTTACTTCAGTGAGTTTCACTGAGTTAGGTTTCTGATGAAACAAAAATTTTCTTTAGATGCCAATGGAAATGTTATTTGAGCGTAGTATATTGAAGACAGTCTGTGGTGTGTATCTTTCAAGTTTATTTGTTTGTGCTCTTCCCTGTCTGAAATGGTCAGCAATTGAGTGGGTTATTGACAGAAGAATCAGCATTTGTTTGTCCTTAAAAAGTAAATTGCTTAACTGTGTGGATTTTATACTTTTGATTGTAATGCATGTAAAACTTAGCATGGGAACATACTTGTGTTGGCTCAGTCAGTTCAGGTCAGTGATTTCCATAAGCAACAAAAATTTGTCTCATTGTGGACACGGGTATCAGTTTAGATCTAGAGAGCAACATCACCAATATCCCACTTCTAGTACAGTTTGTATACTAAAGTGGCAAGCTCTACTTGCTAGAATATGCTCTAATATGATCATAAAGCTGAACTGATCTGTATCTCATGCTTATTACTGCTTACACATTTTTAAATTGTTGTGTCTCCTTAGATACCTACACAGTGAAAGGAAATGCTGATGGAGCACCTTGTGTATTCCCTTTTAAATTTGGTGATAAATGGTACGCTGAGTGCACAGATGCTGGCAGATCAGATGGCTGGTTCTGGTGTGGAACCACTTCAGACTTTGATGTCGACAAGTTGTATGGATTTTGCCCATCGAAACGTAAGTTTTGTATGTTCGTGATTCTGCTGCCTGGAAATATTGGTGTCCTCATATGCTCTTCTGTACAAAATAGAGCTTGAAATGGTGCATTTTTGCCTCCTTTCAGCCTGGTGTCCTTTTAGGAACTACCTAAATATGCAAATGTAGGGCTCAGCATAAAAATGTTGACCAACTACATCCAGGTGAAAGTGTGCTAATCATGCGCTTGAATCTGTACACCATTTCCTTAAATAGAAAGTTAATTAGATGTAAAGATGTTCTATTAGCATATGCAAAAGGCTGGGTAGAAATTTGGCAGCAGAATTGGAAGCTAGAATATAGGTTAATTGAAAATTAAGACTACTTTGTAGAATGAGTTGCCTTTTAAACATAAAGGAGTTTACATGAACTTTTTACTTCCCCAAATCTCTGTGCTACTGCGTAGTTCTGTATCTAAAATCAAGGAGAAGTACTTACATTCTCAATTCCCTGGTTTAAGTGTAGTTTCAACCATAGTGTTATGAATATACAGAACTTTATTTAGAAATGATGATATTTAAGTAAATGGGAGTAATCTGCCTGTATGTATTTGAATTCTTTTAATTCTGAATAAAGTTTTTCTGAACTTCTGTAAAATACGTACAAAGCATTTTGTCTGCAAGCTGCTGCTTCTGTCACGCTGAGAGAGGTAGCACTTCTCCCTCCCTTCTCTTTATTGTTGTGTTTTGCTGTAAAGATCCAGCTGACCGCAGTCAGAGATAAGGAGAAAAATATGTCTTTCCTTTCATGTGAAGAAAACAGTTTGGGCTGATCTTAAATCGTTTGGTGATGAAGTATTTGTGTCCTTGCCTGATTTCCATGAATGTTGCGTTCATTATTTGAGACAAATAAAAATTGCATGGTGTTGTTTTTTTTTCTGTGCCAGTATTATTTTCAAGATATTAAAAATGTGTTGGGATATGAATCCCATTAATACAGCACATGGAAGATCAACTTAAGAATGCTACCTGTTTAGTGTTCCTTGAGTCCAGCAAATGGGAGGCATCATTCAAATTTTGTTTAATTCTTTGGCATAATTCAAGGAAATCCATTCAGATGGCTGTGATTGTTTTTGGAAAAAGCTGCTTTATGCTGACTGCCTGCATGTTTCCTTCCTGATTCTTCAGTATTGACTGTAAAATATTCAAGTTTGGGTTGTATATTTTAATGAGAGACAGGCTGTGGTAGCAGAAGTTTTAGTCAGCTGTATGAAAGAGGGATGTGCTGCATGAGAGAGTGATAAGTTAATAAATGTCAACAGTACCTTTAAACATAGAATGTTTAACTCTTTGTTTGTTAAACTTTATTTAATAAGATTAAAGTGGTTTAGATTTTGTTGTTTTTTAAACTGTCTGGGCTAGCAAAGGTGCTGATATGTGATGCAGATTATTACAGCTGTGAATACAGAGGCCTGGACATACAGTGAAATGATCATGATTGAACCAGTCATTTTTTTTTGTTGTGAACAAAACCGTCTTGAATGTTCTTCGAAATGAAGAGGGCATAAGAGTATACTTAGAACAGTTATTTTACTCAGTAGACGTGTAGAAGTTTCACCAGTGGAGGTGACATAACTATGAGTATGACCCTTTATTTGCTGCTTTAAGAAGAGATGCTGATACAGTGACAGTAGAAGCTTAAATCTCATAGGAAGAAACTGAGAAATGCTGCTACACCAGACAATTTTTAGTAGCCTGGGAAATACTGGTTCTTTACGAGTTACACTGTGTCTTTTTGAGCTGTATGTTGCACTGTGTTATAAAAGTAGGTGCTGGGGAAGAAGATAGGTTACACAGTGTAAGACCATCAGGAGAGTGAGTCATGAGGTGTGCCTGCAGCTGTATTCAAGTGGGCAAAAGTCCATTGGGGCCCCTTTCTTGGCAGATGAAAGAATTTCTGTGAAGAATTTAGAAAGCCTTATAAGTGATGCATAAAACTTGCAGCTGATTAGGAAGGAAACAAAAAGTGCGGAGAATAAGGAAATATAAATAGTCTTAGCCTGGTATATTAATTATTGGGCTAATCTACATCCTTGTATTTGTCCACAAATACTGAATTTATTTTTTATGACAGGCTTTTTCCCCATGCTGGTATTTCAAGATGTTTTGAAGGGTTTTCCGTTGTGGTTTTATGTCTGGTTTGAAATACTTGTTGAATTGGTCATCTAAGTTATATGGGGTTAACAGTGGTGATGCTTCTGAATAATCTGGCACTCACAACCTGACTTTGGACCTCACAAATTTGTCTAGGAAAAAGAAAGAGAGGAACACTTTAGGAAAAGATATCTAAGTGAAGATAAGCATGTGAATGAAGTTTAGTACAATTTAGACTTTTTTACTATTGACAGCTTTATGTCTTTACACAGAATATTATAAATTTACATAAACTGCAGTGTCTTTATTATGAGATTCCTTCCCTACTGTATGCTCAGAGAGGAAGTGATGGAGTTATTTTATAGACTGCCTAACAAGATTTTCTATTCCGTTTTTGTTTGCCATGATTCTATTCACGCAGTTTCCAAGGATGTTGGACTGAGACTCCAACTTGCTTTGGGTGGATAACTAAACAAACAAGAACACTTTACTGTCAAAGACCAGATTTCAGCTTACAATTTTGAAATTAAAATCTCTCAAGATTATTCCATTTCCTAATTCAGGAGAAATACTGTATTTTGATATGATAATCATGTTGACATTTTTTAAATTATAAGTGTCATAAATGTCTGCATTGCTCAGGACTTTATGCCTTGCCTGTAAGTTTGAATTTGTCTGCCAGGGGCCATACCTGAAATTCAATGCATTTTTGGTTTGCTTTCCTTTGCTTTGCTTTAGAGACTGAGATGTTTCAAAGACACGAGTGAAATCTTCCAACTTACTATATTGTACTTCTGGGATTTTGATAGTAATCATAGTGGAAATAGCTAGTGCTCACTAATTTCAGTGTGTACAAAAAATGCATGCTGGATGCATCTGTGTAGGAATAAAGTTCAGCTTTTTTATTCTTTTTCCAGTTATGTACTAAGGACAGGTGTGGCTTCAGATTAATTTAGTTTAGATGCTAAAATATATTGTTTCAGAAAAGTGATTAATCATCTGGTTTCTCTGAGGATACTAAGCTTTAAACAATAGCGTATAGAGTTTCCAAAATCCTGCTCTGTGAAAGCATTTGACCTCATAGAACTCAAATATCTCAAAAACAAAATTTCGAAGGTTCAGAAATTAACTTTATTTTTATGAAAGACCAAAGTTCTACAGGAGAGCACCATATTCAAGTCAGCTATAAATTAGGAGCCTGGGGGAGTGAGGCGGAAGGTTGGATGAATGCCTGAGACTTGTTTACCTCTTCCTCTGTAATAATTGTACAAAATGTATAAAACCCTTTCTATCAAGTCAGAGACAGTTTTCTTTACTGAATTATAGATTTTACTATTTTTGCAATCTTCACTTTATCCCAGGCTTGTGCTTGTGCACAGGAATTTATGGCCTTATAGAACTTAGTGTAGCGAAGAAATTTTGCCTTCTGATAGTCAAAAAATATTTTGGACAGAAGTTGGTTTGCAGATAATGGTAATGGGATGAAAGTTTCCATTTTTAGTCAAATGTCATTATTACAGTAGGTTATATTTGACTTTTATTTTTATTTTTTTTGTAAGGGTAAGCACTTCATATTATCTATAGACTATCAGGTTTAATAAAGGAAAAAGTGGAACTGGTTACTGACCTGCTGACATTTAGTGTGTATCACCCTTTGTCTTGAGTTTTTTGTTTATTGTACTGTTTTCCTCATTTTTGCACACTTGAAGTTCTCTGAGCTCTCTGAATTTGGAAAAGGAAAAGACCTCTTTCTCTCAAATTTTTCACAGCTTGCAACTTGAGAAACTGGTATAGGCTGCAGGAATTTCAGTTGTTTTCCCTTTGTCAGCAGACATACAGTGACCTCTGCTATATTCTACTTTTGTCATGCAACTTTTATCTCTTTATGTGATATTTAGCTTAGTGTTGGGGCCTTCTGTGTGTTCTGCTTTCGACAGAGCAAGATCATACTGTTTTCTGCTGCTTGTTGTGGGGATTCAGTTGAGACAAGCCAGGAGAGACTGCAGCAGTGTAAGGAGTGTGGTACCTTCTGGGACCGCTTCTAAAGTTGGGCCCTCCTGGGTGACGTTTTCACTGGTTTGGCATTGCCTAAATGTGCCAAGTTCAGGTATTCAAGGAGATCACAGTCAGGTCACGTGGCAGAGAAGAAAGTGTGGTGGTATGTCCGATACATGCGCAAGACATAACAGGAATTGCAGGAAAGTGTGAGACGGATGCTGACAATGTAAGTTTTGCATTCAGTGCTTGGGTCTGATTACCTCTATCACAGTAAGAAAATCCGTAACTGCTCTACATAGTAGCCAAAATTAGTAAAATATTGAGGTTTCTTGTTTCAGAAAAGTGGTCAGCTTGATATAAACCTTAGCTAGCATGAGTCTGGAAGTTTTTAGTCATTTTCTCCACAGTGACAAACCAACCCTTTAGCATGTCTTCAGCCATCCACCTTCTACCTTAAACAGCGGCTTTGTTTTACCAGACAAAATGCTGACCTTGTTTCATTACCTGTGTTCTGTCTAACACGGCTGTCATGGCTTAGCCCTGCCCTGGATTTACTAGCATATTAGAGAGCCTCAAGACTCCTTTAAATCAGTTTTCTAGAGCAGTGCTTAGGTTTTGTGTATTTTTGCTGTGCAATTTATTCTATATTTTATCTGGCTCCGTCTTCATCATCAGTTAGAACTTTTCTTTTTCTCCCTACAGTTAATAGCATTGATTCCTTGTGGAATATGGATCCTTTAACTAATGTCCAGTACCAGATAAACTCTGAGGCAGCTCTGAAATGGCACCAGGCAAGAAAAAGCTGTCAACAACAGAAGGCGGAGTTATTAAGCATCACGGAGTTGCATGAACAAACATACCTGACAGGTAGGGTAATATTATCCATCAGGTTTTTTTAAAAAGTGCATTATTGTAACAGAGACACTTATATGGCATGTTCCATCTTGAAAACTAATACTTGTTCAATTCTGGTAATTAACAGATTTAAATTGTTATCTTGAATGATCCAGCTGAAAAAATTAGACAGATAATGATTATCTTATCCTGATTAAATATTGCCAGAAACTTACAGTAACATAAAAATACATCATTTGAATAATGCGAACAATAAGGAATGAATGTTGGAATGCAGGAAAATGCAAAATAGTTTGTAAACCAAAGATGTAGATACCAAGATCACACCCTTTTTGTCCTCCACTTGTTGTGTGTACTAGTCAGCATTTTTGGCTTATCTCATTAAAGATATCATATCCTCAGTAAGTGCTAAAATACGAAAAGAAAGAAAAAGAATTAATAAACAAAAGGACACACAAATAGCTTGCTTTATTTTCTATCTCCTCCAGTGGTTTTTGAAGTCATTTCCAAACTTCTCTGAGAAAATTCTCTCCTGAGTTTGTACTTGAATATATTTACATTCTACAATGAGACAGTCTCCTCTTTATTACCTTATTAGCCTGTGTACACGCATGAAATAGTCCACTAGTTAGCCTATTAAATAGATTAGGAAATATTTTGTATGTGTTACATCAGTTGGAAGATAAACTATTCTATGCCACAAGGTGTATGTTGTACTATGTAAGTTCATAGAATCAGAGAATTAGAGAGTGGTTTGGGTTGGAAGGGATTCATCTAGTGATTCATCTTCGACTAGCTCAGGTGGCTCAAAGCCCCATCCAGCCTGGCCTTGAACACTTCTAACAATGGTGATCCACAGCTTCTCTGGGCAACCTGTGCCAGTGTCTTGTCACATTCATTGTAAAGAATTTCTTCATTATGTCTGATCTAAATCTACCCTCTTTCAGTTTAAGACCATTGCCCCTTGTCCTGTCACTACAGGCCCTGGTAAAGTCTCTCTCCATCTTCCTTATGAGTCCCCTTTAAGCACTGAAAGGCTGTTCTAAGGTCTCCCTGGAGCCTTCTTTTCTCCAGGCTGAACAACCCCAACTCTCTCAGCCTGTCCTCACAGGGGAGGTGCTCCAGCCCCCTGAGCATCTTCATGGCCTCCTCTGGACCTGCTGGAGCAGGTCCATGTCTTTCTTGTGCTGAGGACTCCAGAGCTGGATGCAGCACTGCAGGTGGGGTCTCACCAGAGCAGAGCAGAGGGGGAGAATCCCCTCCCTCAACCTGCTGGCCATGCTGCTTGTGACGCAGCCCAGGATGCCGTCAGCTTTCTGGGCTGTGAGCATACATTGTTGTCTCATGCCCAGCTTTTCATCCACCAGCACCCCCAAGTCCTTCTCCACAGGGCTGCTCTCAATCCCTTCATCCCCCAGCCTGTACTGATACCATGTGTTGCCCTGACGCAGATGCAGGACCTTGCCCTTGGCCTTGTTGAGCCTCATGAGGTTCACACGGGCCCACTTCTCAAGCCTGTCAAAGACCCTCTGGATGCCAAGACACTCGTCCCTCAAGCGAATCAACCTTGCCCCTCAGCTTTGTGTCATCTAGAAACTGGCACTCAGTCCCACTGTCTGTGTCATTGATGAAAATATTTAATAGTATCATTCCCAATACAGATCCTAGAGGGACACCACTTGTTACTGGTTTCCATTTGGACATTAGGCCGTTGACTGTAACTCTGTGAATGCAGACATCCAGCCAATTCCTTCCAATCTAATAGTCCATACATCAAATCCTTATTTCTCAAATTTAGAGGAATGATAAATGTATTTTTAATGCTATGAACAGTTGTTCTGTCTAAATTTTCTTTTTAATTATAGGTTTTGATCAAAACACATTTTTTTTGGGTTTTTTTTTGTTTTGTTTTGTTTTGGTTTTTTTTTACTGAGTGTGATGAGATTATTGTTGAAATTAATGCCCAAGGGAGCAATCTGGCATCAACCTGTAGGAGTGAGTTATTAGTAGGTGTGTTTTATCTGCAAACTAGTAGATATGGCTGCCAAATGTATGTGAAAATCAGTTTTTCATCCTACAGCCACACTAGCAGTACCAGGATTTCCTGTCATGCTCAGTTTGTGCTTGTCTTAACCACAGCTTGTTTGTGTAGAAGTACTGGAACACACCAATGTGTTGGTGCCAAATTTGGTATGACATTCCAGTCCTTTCCAGTGCTTAACTGCCTTTTAACCTTGCCATGCTTCAGGGGCTGCACGTAGTCATGGTGTCAAAGACAGCTAAAATATATAAAGCACAATTACATACTGGCACAATGCCATTGGTAGAAGCAGAAATAAGTAATATAAATTGCACAATGATTTTCTGTGAGCTGTGCAGAAATACTTCAAAAAAATCAGAAGTCATCCAGCTGGGCTTCCAAGTCTTACACGAAAGGCAGAGGGAGACGTTGATTAATAATGACTATAAATAATGCTAGAGTGCAGGACCATACATAAGCATGGTATTTCTAAGTGGTTTTTGGAACTAGAACAGTAAGTTGGAACTGGTTTTGGAAGCCTGACTTATCATTGGCTAAAGAAGTGAAATCAGATGAGTCTGAAAAATGTACAAGATGTGCTGTTAAAAAGATGATGTTTTGAATGATTGCATTTTAATGTAGTTTCATAAAATGTGAACAGTTTTTTTGCTTCACAATATTTTGTAAATTTGAAACTCACTTCTTAAGTGAAGAGAAAATACACAATAGGAAACTATTAATGATTCATTTTAAAAACCTGATTTTTGGTTTTGTGATATTTGTGCAACCTTATTAATTTAATATTTTATAATTCTGGAAAAAAAAAGGATTTGTTTCATATTTATGATCATTGGTTTACAAAGAGCATGTAGAAGTGTCATCTTGTTTTCTATTGTAACGAAATTCTCCACACCTGAAAATGTGGAAACTCTAAAACTAAAGTGACCTGTGTAAGGTGACATATTTTGCATGTTTGATGTAGCCACCTTAACTAAAAGGTTAAAAGTTGTTAAAACTCGTACTGGGAAAAAAGAGAAGCAAACGATTTAGCTAGAATTTATCTGTTAAGTTTTGAGAAAGTGTTTGCTCTTGTTGTGCACTTCCAGTATCTCTCTTTGTCTCTGTTACCTAGGTTTGACTGGCAAACTGAATGCTGCTCTCTGGTTTGGTCTTAACAGTTTGAATTTCAACAGCGGATGGCAATGGGTTGGTGGTGCTCCTTTTCGATACTTAAATTGGGTTCCAGGTAAGGTTAAATACGTTGCTACTCAGTTTAAAAGGCAAAAATTTGGTCATCATGTAATGTATTTTCTAGTGCTCTATTCTCCTGCAATTATTGAGCTTATTTTGGTGTTGAAAGATTCTGACTGTGGCTATAAACACTGTGAGTAATGGCCCTTATGCTGGGGATACACACTGGGCTTAATTCATTGTTCACAATGGAAATGGTATCCTCAAAATCCAGAGGAAAGTTTTAAAAGTCATCTATTTACACTTCATTTGTATATCTTCTTATTTACTTTATTTCTATATGAATACAGAATAAATCTGATTCTATAAGTGTCTTTATTTGTGAGATTAGACTAGTCAAGATATGTTTTGGGTTTTGTTTCTTGGTGGGTTTTTTTTGGTTTGTTTGTTGTTTTTTTTTTTAATTCCTTTCCTTTCCAGTTTGTTTTGGTTATTTGCTTAAAGATTAGATTTTCGTTTTCGTTGAGGATTAACCTACCCATGGCAGTTACACATATGAGACTGAACATGTTAGGCTAGTCTAATTTGAAGCAAACCCAGCTACTTCACACTGTTGTTGATGTTGAACTCTGGTACCATTACTAACAAGCTAGTCTCTGTGCTGTCCTTATGCACGGTGAAGAGGTGCTTTTCTGGTTTACTATCAGAGTGTCTTTGCTAAGGTGTCTTTTTACAGGATCCTTGTTCCCTTGCACTGGCTATTCAGGAAGCCTTTGGAGACTAATTTAAAGTAGATGTCTGAAGTTAATGCAATGTAAATACTCTTCTTTATCTTTATTGAGCATGTCATCTGTATATAATCTGCAGTGACTATAAATACACACTCCATCCTAGCACCCAGAGGCTTCCTTGCGTAGATGAGGCCAAAAGCACACTTTAGGTGGACAAAACTCTTGAGTAGGTGAGCTTTGAAGAGTGAATTGAACTACTTTATAAATAGCTCTCCAATGGAGTGTGCACACAAGGGAAACAGATAGGCTGAACTGCAAGTTGCTGTGAAGGCATTTATAGGTCTGTCATCCAAGTACACTGATGAAGATCTGCTTGTGATGAAGAAGGGGGAAACTGATGGTGAGGTGGAGCCAAAGTGGCAAGGGGAGCATTTCACAGTTGTTAAAACTGCAGACAACTCTCAGTTGTCCTGTAAAGAATGAGATGGGTTTTGGTGTAACCAAAATGTGTTCCATTTATCTTTAACTCCTTATGTTCCTTAATTTAATTTGAAGATAATACCCTTAACTCCATATGACCTATTTGATATTTGTGCTATCTCCTTCATGGCTTTACTTTGGTCAGCCTACCTCTGTCTCATCCCCATTACCATGAATGTGCAAGAGCTGACTGTTCTTCCACTAGTGTATTTTAAAAGGAATTGTGGTACCTTCATATTCTTCCATCTCACTAGCCCTAAATAAATAACAGAAAAACATGGGAACTAAGTTATCAACATTACACTAAAATTGTGCTGATTGGGCATTTGGGAGAGCTAACTGCCCACACTGAACTTTTTCTGTGCATTAAAACAATTTAAATTTGTATTTTTGAAGTAAGCATATCTTTTTCTCCTACGGGAGGAAGATATAACATGACTGCAAATATAAGACTAACTGTAATCTAAGGTCACGAATCATATATCGAGATAAGAAAATTTTCAGTGAACAATCTTGCGCACTAAAAAATATTGTTTTGCTGTGATTATTGCTGAGCAGTACTGACACTTGCTTGTTATGTGGTATAGTGGCCTGTGTTCAGAAATGAAAGAAAATCCACGTTCATTTTAATCACATTGGACCAGATCTTGAAAAGTTCATCTGGTTTACTGCAGAAATTCATTCTGTTCTACAGGTTCTACTTTTCTTCTAGATGTTTCTGTTAGTGCTAATGCTAATCTTCAACTGAAAATATCCAAATATCCTGCTATTGTCATAGTGTTTAGACAAGTGGACAAGAAGTTCACGTTAGCAAAATAATTACTTATTATTTTTCTGCCTTTACTGTTTTGCTAAGTACAGAATTTGGCTAGCTTACTGAACAGTTTTTTCACCTAAAGATCGTGCTTTGGAGTTTAGGTATTCTTCTTTTAGAAAGGGAAAAACCCAAACAAACTAAATAGGTGCACTGTAACACCTTCCTTTGAGACTTTGAACCTGTGAAGAAGCTGTTAAATTGTGAACTGGATAAATATCTCAACTTGTGGTCGCTGAGAAAAAATTTCTCTTAAGGGAATGAAGTGCCCCGTTCAGTCTAAAGGACTATGGAGAATCACGGTTGTCTATATGTTAATGTATTTTAGAATTAAAGCATGGGACAGATTAGAACGGAGAGTAATTGGAGAGGTAACCATGATGTGCTTCTACTTTGTTGTTGTTGCTGTTGTTGAGGTTTTGTTTTGTTTTCAATTGTTGGTGTTTTTTAAGGACATCCTTCTCCAGAACCTGGAAAAATCTGTGCAGCATTAAATCCTGGCAAAGGTGCTAAATGGGAGAATAGAGAATGTGATCAAAAACTTGGCTATATTTGTAAACGAGGAAATGCTACTTTAGAGTCTTTCATTATTCCTACAGGTAGGTTTGGTAATAAACCTTCACAAATTATTAATGACCAGTGGTTTTTATCTGTAATTCTAATAGGTATTTTTAATTGCACATGGTAAAACCAAGCAAAAGTCTCTGCAGACTGTGGCTTGATCAAGATTCCCTGTAAAAGTCAACAGTGTGTACTTCCTTTTTGTTCTGGCCTCCCTACTTCCTGTGTAGTCATCTTTCTTCAGTAGCTTTGAGTCCTAAATTGCAGAAATGGTGGAGTTCTCTTTTCCAGAAACAAGGAGAACTGTCAGATTTTGTTCATAAAATAAAAAGAGAAATAATTTATTGTTTTTTAAAAAAAGGATGTAATTATCTAAAGCCTCATGTACTCAATGAAACTAATCTATTTCTCCTTGCTGTCATACTTAGGAAGCAGGGTAGGTTGCCAGTGCAAGTTTGTAATGGATGAGAGGAACTTTTCAAAGTTCTTTAGAGAGAGTTAAATATTTTTTATATACTAATATATTTTATAAATAGATATGCATTTATAGAAAATCATTTATTTGTGTATATATAAATATTTGACTTATAAAATTATTTAAATTACATATACACAGACACTTTTTCAGAAGAAATGAAATTCTTGCCTAATGTACATAGGAAAGACAAAACAGGGACAACTTTTCACAGGTTAATTTAGATCTGTTCTCTTGTTATGTCTCCATGTACTATAAAAACCTTGTAACTTATTCCATTCTTTCATCCCTCCTTCATTCTGTTCTTTCCAAGTTTCTTTCTTTTTTCAGGACATACAGGTATCTCCTAAATCCACTGACATTATTTTGTATAGGTTTTAGAAAGCTAAACTTTCTCTGGATCTCCAGTCCATTTATTAATATGCATTGTTGACAAACCAGATGTTTTGGAAACTCAGTGTTTGAGATTTGGCTTAAAAACCATGGTTTTTTAATGTTTTTCCTGGTTTTGCCAATATAAAACCAGTCCAGTCAAAACCACTTAGGACAGAGACTTCTGCCTAATTCGTTTTGCTTTATCTCTAAGAGAAAAAACCACAAAAATGAGCTAGTGTCTCATTAATTAAATAGTGAAATCAATATTTATTTCAATCAGTGAAATCAATGTTAATTAGATTAAAACTTCAGTATGGAGATCAAGCATATTTGTTGCCTTATAGCTGAGAAGGAGTCAGTGCATATTTTAATTATTTCCTAAATTAAGATGTAAAGTTCTGTTAGTATTTGTATACAGCTGATAAGCAGATAGTTTCATTTATATAGGTTGTCTTAGATTGTTCAATTGGCTACTGCTCAGCTTTTCAGGTTTCATACATCAATTCTTAAACACTGACACTATCAATTCAATACTGGCTTCTATATTATTTAGATTTAAATTCAGTTTTCGGGGGGGGTCTAATGGCCATTTCTTTCTTATGCATTAGGCTTTTGATTCTCCCCCCAGCCCCACAGTTTACCAGTAATTTGGAGGAAGAACAGAAATGAGACAAAAGTTTTCAATTGTACAGAAATTGCTGAGTAAACATGCTGATAGATGAACCAGAGATTGGCAGTGATTCGCTTCATAAAATACTTTCCAAAATGTCCTGTGGGGGGAAGTCATAAAAGGAATAAGCATGCGATCATGCAAGGTGTTAAGTACCCTCAGCTTCTAATGATGTAAAGGAAAACTCGTGGCAGATGATGTTTTCCTGACTAGGGCTCCCGCGTCAAGAAATAAATTAATCGCAAATTCATACATGCACTTAGCATTAAGGATTGAAGCAATCCTTTGAAATTTTAACCGTGGAAGTTATGATTGAGTCTAACAAGGCAGTATGCAGGGACTGTGGGACAGAACACTTTACAATAGAAAATAATCATGCCTGTGACCAAAACAAAGTAGAGAAAAATCTTTACAGAGTATCTGTTTTTGTGGTGGATGAGGGTTTTCGGGCAGCCCAGAGCTGTTCAGGGTTTGGTAGCTGAGGTGTTTTCCATCAGAGGGCTGCCCCACTGTGCGGCTGAGTGCTGCGGAGGCTTTCGGCTTCAGAGCATCTGCCCTGTAACATGCCAAAGTGGATTCGCAGGAACCTGTTCATTTCACCTGCAAACCTTGCTTATTTTTTAGCTGAATTTTCTGTCTCCCTCCACCAAGTGACTGCCAAAATAGATTTCATCCTGATCCAACAAGGTGTAGTGATCTTAAAGTATTGTTTCCTAATGTTTCATAAAACGTTCGATTAAGAGGAAATAAATGCTCTTAATGTCACTGTTGCAACTGCTGTGTGAGCTCTCTATTATCAGACCACAGAGGATGGATGTGAGAGAGAAATTTAAATGCCTGAATCACAAGGCAAACTTTGGCTAGTACTTTCACCCTCTTAGACACCCAAGTCAATCACTTCAGGAAGCTAAGCTTGTAGTTTACACAAGTATTTGCTCTCTGAGGAATAACCATTCTACACTTAAAAACTTCATTTCTGTATTTTGATCTATTCCACAGTAAATTCGTCAGCTCGACATTTTGGATAACGTTTTTTACATATTAATGTGATTTCCTTTGTTACATCTTATCTGTTGGAATTTGCATTCCTTCTTTTGCTTAAGCCAAATGAAGTTCAGGGAGTAGTACTTGTTTCCATTAGAATGAAAAAAAATAGAGTGTATAGCTTTGTGTTGTCAGGTATTTTCTTTAAAAGGAGAATAGGGAAGCACAGAGTTCATTTTTGCTGAATGCTGGAAATGAAGACACCTTTTTCTTACTGAGAAATCCCCAGCTGTGGCATTCAATAAGGCTTGCACCAAGAAACTAGACTGTCAACTACTTTTCTTGGTTTGTGGTCTGCAAAAAATTCCCTGCTGTCACTGGATTTAGGAGCAAAAGATTCTCCCACCCTGCCATAGCTGCTTTGTGTTTACAGTGATAGTTTTTGTTTCCTTAGGACTGAAAAACAGACTCTCGTGGACTCACTGGGACCAGACACAGGACAAATTAGGCAGCTGTCTGAAGCATCAGACTAACATCTACAACAGCATTTGCCACCTCTGTCCTCTCTCATTTCTCCCAAAGCCACCATTCACTTTTCTGGGGTTCCCCCACTCTCTATTCCAGTTCTTCCTCTCCTGCGGTGGGATTGACAGGGCTCTGACCAAGGACTGAGCCCCTTGTCCTGCAGTGACAAAGTTCAGTTTTACTTAAACTTTGTGTGAACATGGCAGCACTTCTTTGAGGCAGGTCTGCAAAGAGCAGACACTGTTTGTAGCTCTGCTAGAAGTCTGTGTTGTGACACGAAGTATCTGCTGATCATCAGCATATCCTTGTTGAATGAGGGCATGTGCTTGCAACCTGCACCCAACTGGTCGTGACTTTGGATGCCTACTTTAATATTTCTGCAAAATATACACCACTGTTATGCACAACCACATTGCTTCTCCTTCCCTGACATACACAAGGTTTTTTGCCAACAGAATTTCTGCAAACCTGCTGTCCTTGTTCTACTCTGTATATTGGTGTTTGGTAAACCCATCTTCTGATTACAAATAAAGTGCTGCAAGTATCACAAATTGTTTCCACAATAGGAATATTCTGTGTATTATATGTTCAGGTGGCACTCCTCCCAATTGTTTGCTGAACAGCAATGTGGTTGTTGGCACTACTCCTGTGCTGTTCTGTTGAGCTTTTACAAGCAAGTTTTAAGCATAAATCATTTAATTTGACACTATAATTTTCTCAATGAAGCTTTTAAAAAGGATTCCTAAAAGCAGTATTCTTAGTTGAGTTCTCTCATGATCCTGTGGAACCAGTTATTTTTTCTTTGCTAGTCTAGCAAACGGGGCTAATGCGTAAAATGCCTAAGGTTTGGGGAAAATAATTACCCTCACAAATATGTTTTGCAAGCCCAGATTCTTAGCACATAGCTATACAGCATGTAGGAGGAATATTGACATGAGTGTAGAAAAATGATAAAGCACAGCTCTACAAACCGTAGCTTTTAATATGTGTGTAAACATATAAAAGTTAAACCTGTGTTTTTTATGGTAATTTTTAGTTTTTTTCACAACATGAGAGCACTTGTTAGCAACTGTAATGTTCTTTAAAAGAAATATAGAAGTTTCAACTTTTAATCATGCATGCAGATTATTATCCCTGTACATGCTTTTCAGCTCTGCTGTTCTTCGTGAAGAAAATATATAATTAATTTGTTTGTTAAATCTTTGTTAAATTTTCAGTCTTAAGTCAAGAATAGAATTCTGAAACTCTTCATGGTAATTTTTCTTTTCAGAGACTAATGTGCCTATTAGATGTCCTGATCAATGGATATCATATGCTGGTCACTGTTACATAATTCACAGGGAACCCAAAATATGGAAAGACGCCTTAACATCTTGCAGGAAAGAGGATGGGGATCTGGCGAGCATCCATAATGTTGAAGAGTACAGCTTTGTTATTTCTCAACTTGGGTACCGTGAGTATTTTAGTATTTTTTTTACAATAACATATATATATATATGTATGTATTTATACTAAGAAAATAAAGACTTTTGAATATGTCTTACCTATTAAGACTGTTAAAAAAAAAAATCCTGATCACAGGGTGCAGAAGGAGTTAAATTTTAAATTTAAAAAATCTTTGGAAGAAAAAAAATGAGAGCATAAAAACTAAACAAAGTACTGTCACGGAAAAGCTGTGGTCAATGTTGTGTATTGCATCAACCCCAAACTCCTCTTTCTTAGGTTCTGCTTATTCCTCCTTTTATACAGATTAAACCAATTTTCAGAAACTGAAAGGATTTTTACTATTGGTCTGCAAAGATAGAGGAGGAGAAGCAAAATCTATTGGTCAAAGAGTTTGGGAAGATCTGGGTCCTATTACCAGCACTGCCATGTCCTTATTTTTCAAGTCACGCTGCTTGTAATTCTTCTGCAAAAGGCAGCTGTCTGTCCCAGTATGCGGATTCAAATGTGGTCAAATTAAATATAGTACTTAGGTGCTCGGTTTCTGAGCACACATTCGAGGCAAGTTAGGCGGCAGATGCTGTGTGTTCATTAGGAGAGATGCAGCCATGCTGATGCTGAGGAATTTTGTGGTTGCTTTTGCTTTACATGAACCTGATTTTGCATGTAGGGTCAGTTACTGCTTTTTGATGGAAGCAGCATGTTCACACTTGTGTGTGTGTCTTTGCAGTAACTGATCCTGTGTGTGCTTTTAGCGCCAGGTAAGTGTGAGTTAGTTTCTCCTTCTCTGAAAGTGCAGTAAGCTGCTTTGAGCTGCAGTGTAACAGCAATCAGTCTTGGAGTGGCAAGCACATAATAGCCGATACGTAGTTTTGTATCCTAGCCAACTCCGTGGCAACCTGGGCTTGTCCTCACATTCCTGAAAGAGTGATTTGTTGTTCTTGCATGAAACTTTTACTCTTTCAAAGGAGATTATTAGAGAAGGTGGGACCTCTTGATGAGACATTTGGACGTTTGAAAGAAGGTAGGCTCTAAAGGAAATTAGTTGTATTTTCAATTTACTCCTTGGAAGGAGATTATTTCATAGTTTAATGCCTTCTCCAAAGACCTTTCCTGAGCTGACTGCGCTGCACTGTTTTTGTAAAAGTGAATGTTTCTGAAAGGCAAATAGTCCTGAAGGAAACCAGGCTTCTCACATATGGCACACTCACTGCAACAGACTATTTTGAAAGCATTCTTTTCAGAGAATTAAAATTGGAACAACTAAAAAAGTCTTTTAAGGCAGTTTGTGACAGTATCAGATTACCCTTGCTCATCGCTGAGATGAGAACACCATGTATTGGCAGTGCCTAGAAAATCTTGTCTGCATCAGAATTCTGCTGCAATCAGTGCTGTACAGAAAGAACAACAGTCTATCTTTGTGCCAAACAATTCATGGTCCCATGATAAAACAAAGGAAGAAGGGGTACAATGAGATGAGTATTGTCATAGTAGCTGAGCTTTTGTTGGCATCACACACAAAGGAGAACTTCAGAAAGGAACATGAAGAAGAATAAAGAAGTGAATTCTGGATGTTTACACAGAAGTCCAGCATGTGATACAGCACAAATATGGCCCAGCGCGTGCCTGAGAGAGCGGGAAACAGCTTATTTACAAGTGGCTGGAAAAAAATTATCAGTATTTAATCACCCAGCTTTAGAGATGATTGCAAAACTCTGTGACAGCATTTCCTCTTCAGAGGAGAAAATGTTATGTAGGAAGAGGCTCCACATACGCATGGCTTATTTAGATGACTCTGATGTAATAATTTTGTTGAAGAATGCGGTTTATTGTTCATATTACCATGGTGCGAGACCACCAGAGTAGGAGTTCTTGCCGTGGATGACGCCTCTGCTGTGCTAGGAGCTCAATAAACACAGACAGAAAGATTTTAACAGATAACTAAGCAAAAAAGAAACTAGAGAGCATGGATGGTGGTAGCTAAGGAGGGAACAAGAGCATGATGGGCAGTGGGACTGGAACAGGTTTCAATTTTGGTAGCAGAGGAGAGTTTAAAGGAGAGTGTAAAGATGTGATGCTGGGGGACTTCTGAATATGAAGAGCAGTCTGGAAGAAGAGGTAAAGGTGCCTGTTTGAAAATGGAGCCTGATGTCCTGTGAATCTGAGCCCTTCTTATTGGGGGAGAGATTGTGAGGACAGTACAGATGAGCTGTGAGGGCTGATCATAATTAGGTATAATAATGATGGAAGAGACAAGGGAGGGGAAGAGACAGGAGAGAGTTGACTCCATTAAAGTGGCAGGCTGGGAGGGTGTTTTTTGCAGCAGCTTGGTTGCACAAAATCGGAAGCCTCCTTGTTCCTATAAGTAGCAGATGGGAGAAGTGTCACAGGAGTGTTTTAAGTTGTCAGGGTATCTAGGAAAACCTCTATGTTTTCCTCTGAAGTGAAATAAAATATGGGAACACATGTACTGGGAAAACTTGCAAGTACTCTGGCTGTCTGCTCTAAAAGACAACACTGGGTGTCTGAGCATTAGAAAAGAAGGCACTTCGCTCTACTAAAGGTAGGAGGAAAAGGGGAGGTACCATTTATTTAGGTGTTTATTCATATCTTGTTACAAGAGTTTTGAACTGGAAAAAAAGAATGAACCTAGTTATGTTGCAACATAATTCAACAAAAAGAGTATTTTGGTTGTTTATACAAAGTTAAACACTCGTATTGTTACTACAGCGAGTGGCCTTTCCTGATGGCTGGAGTGGGTATACAAAAAGAGCCTTAATTTCCGTGACTGCCTTTTAAACTTCCTGAAAATAAATTGTTTGCTCTTCATATAAAAGGACTGTTACTGACCTTGTTAACTGTATGTTTTAGAGCCAGCTGATGAGCTGTGGATTGGGTTGAATGACCTCAAGGTTCAGATGTATTTTGAATGGAGCGACGGGACACCTGTTACGTACACCAAGTGGCTTCGTGGAGAACCTACTCATGCAAACAACAGGCAGGAGGACTGTGTTGTTATGAAGGGAAAGGTGAAGTCATGTAGCTATTGACTTAATCATCTCATAATTTAGTTTATTATTTGGGCTTTTTTCTATGCAAGAGTACAAAGTAGGGGGTATTACTGTTTGAAGCAGCCTATTTTGGAGTCTTACAGGTGTTACTTTTTTGAGGAAGGATCCCTGTTCCAGGTTGCCAGAAAGTTGTTTTTTGTTGTCTTCCCTGAGGAGCGGGCAAGTAGAGGCTTTCCTTGAAGGCACTGCCCCCGCCACCGCCACGGGTGCATATTTCTGGTTTTCAGATTGTGCATGTGAGCTTTTTTGAAGAAATTTTAAGTTACAGTATGAAGCACATGAACATGTAAATGCTTTTCTTCAGGAAGCTACAAAGGCATTTTGGATACATATGGATTTTTTCTGCTTTAGTGGAATACGGGATATACACCTACCTTAAAAAATTGCGCTAGCAATTTTTAATGATGTTAAAGAAATATTATCTTTAGCAGAAAATAGAAGCCTTCATTTTCTTTTTCTACGCAAGGTTATAAATCTGAGGTCTAGGTGGATTAGATGTTATGCTTGTATCTGCGCTGCACACGAAGAGCTGTGAGAAGGCAGTTAGCAATGGCATTAGTGGAAGCCTTTACTGAGTGACTGTATTCCTACAATTAAAAGTCTGCTTTGAAAAGGCTGCCTTGTGGAATATGGCGATGATTGATGACCTAGGTGTACTACAGGAACTACAGGAAGCACTAGGGAGCAGCAAGGAGCAATTCCTTTTGAACAGGTGAGGAGCCACAAGGCAAGCGTGGTAGCTCAGCTTGCAGAGACAGAGCCTGTCCATCCAGTCTTTCCCACTGTCCCCAGGGAGGGAGCAAAGCAGGTGGGGTTGGCAGCTGGTGGCAGACCAGAGCCCACATGCCAGATGATGAGATGGGTCCAAGGTCAAGCCAAGCAGCTGACTCAGGATCAGGTTTGGAGAGAGTAACCAGGGTCAGACAGAAGCCAGTGGTTGCTGGGCCAGTCCATACCACAAGGCAAGTCCAAGATTAAGGCAGAAAGACAGCCCAAAGGTCAGGGTCTGAATCAACCAGACTTGTAGCCAGGTACAGAAATTGCTGGAGCTGGAGAAAAGTAGTTCTGTTACAGCACGGACAGGGACTGAAGGCCCAGGCCTGAGCTTAAGTGGAGCCTCAGGGCCCATGGGCAGGCAGGTGGGTGGAGGCCCCAGGTGGAGATGGTGGGGGCCATTTAGGTCTATTGGTGCCCTCAGGCTGCTAATGGAAAGTTAGAAATGAATTACAACAGTAAGGCATGCAACAATGCCATCAAAAGGACTTCCATTTGTAACATACTTGTTCATTGTGTTACGATTTTTGTCTATTTTTCATTGAATTTGGTGGTTGTAGATGCGGTTTTATTTGAACTCCTCCTTCATTACATTGCTTTTACTTTTCATTTTAATTTGACTCTGTACCTTTGCGACAGTGATGCAAATCAGTGTGATAGAAATTTGCTATGATGTACTACCGTTTGTCCAGTTTAACATTTTGAAAGGGCAGCTGTTGCCATATGCTATGCTTTAGTTTTTCTACCATTCTTTTTGATGGGAAGACTCTCTTGCTTTCTATATCAAGTAGTAAGTCAGACTGGTAAATGTTTCTTTTAAATTTTAAGGGCTTGATGCTTACCAGCAGACCAGGTTTTCCTTTGGGTTTGAAAGTCGGTAATTTCTATTGTGATAGTTATAGATTAAAAAGAACACAACACATTTTAGCTATATACAGACTTTTCATATATGTGACTTGTGTGGAAAGCTAATTTTATTGTTGGTTCTTCTGAACTCTCAAAATACATATCTGTTAAAGAGTTGATCTTAGTAGGAAGAGTAACTTCAGATTCTGTGGAAGTTGCACTAGCCCAGCAACTCTTGGGAACAGCCATCCACTGAGCAAACAAAGCATAATTATAAGTTGACTTTCCCTGGTTTTTGTTGAGGTTTGTCTAAAGTACAGACTGTCTAAGTACAGACATTAATTTGTGTTGTTCACTCCTTGGCTGAAGTCGTCTGAATCCATCATTTATTTTTATGGAACAAAACCTGCCCCTGTCTATGACACCACCTTCTTTTTAAAGAAAGTGTTTGGGTTTAGCTAATGAGGAAGTAGGAGAACAGAGAGATATTTGCAAAAGGCAACTCCTAAGGCACAGTAATAAGTCCCTAGAAATTACTGCATGAATTTCCCAGTGAAGACACAGTCATGGGAAGACAGTAAAGGATCTTCCTGCAGCTAGAGACCAAAGTTTCAGAGTAGGTTTTCCTATGTTGCAGAAGTCTAAAGTCTGTGAAAGTTGTGCTGATTCTTTCCAGGCTGAGAAGGTCAGAGTTTTGGATGGTTATTTGAAGTGCCTACCAGCCTAGTGAGACTGAGAAAGAAATGGTAGGAGATGATGAGATAGCCACCAATGGACTTGACTTGTGGTCAGCGCAGGACAGAGAAGACACAAGCACCAGCTGAACATCCGAGGGTTTTTCATTGTTGTAGACAGTAGTGTTGAGTTTTGGGAGAGTTTTTGCTGGAAGTGGGGTTTGTTGAGGCTCTTGAGGACTTGCATATTGTGGACAAGGGACTGTGTATTACCATGATGATTATTTTACATTTCTCGTGGGGAAAACAAAAAAAGAAAAAAATTAAAGAAAAAAAAAAAAAAAGAAATTGCCACCAGCAGCTATGATTTTACTTTTACCAAAGTGGAGTCTTTAAGGCACAGGTGAGAGAGTGCTTTGCACAAGGGTTTCTCTTCCTCTCTCAATACCTTAGTTCATCTGTTGAACCCAAATGTATGTAACATATAGCAGGAATATGGTGTGAGTTTCCTTACTTTCATTACAGCTACTACTGAATGTAATTGTTTCTTCTGAGAATCTGTAGAATAAGGAGTAACAACATTAATTCTAATTTTGAAAAGGAACTTTTTGCATCTTCGAAGTTTTATAAAATTAACTAAGAAATGTAGTTTCCCTGTTTTTTTCTGTTGCAACTGGATTTCTGTGGGGAGGAATGACATCTCCTTTTCCTCCTGCATGCTTATGAACTCAGTAGTCTTTGTAAAGCTGGTGTCTTGCTGTCACCTCCAAGGGTTTGCTTTTCAGAAGGGTAAATGATCAAAGAAGTTGTAAGTCAGTGATGAATCAGCCCCAGTAGAAGTGAGGTTGGAATGAAGTACTGAACTTAGATGTAAGTTTTGCTTCTTTTAAAGCTGGCAAAAAATAATTAAACACCTGAAAGCCTAAAACACCTTTTTTGAAGAATAAATCCCACTTGACTGTGATGTTCTGTTCTTATGTTCAGGATGGGTTTTGGGCAGACCATTCTTGTGAAAAGAAGATTGGCTACATCTGTAAAAGGAAACCCATGTCAGAAGCTCCTACGGAAGTGGAAACTACTGACGTGGGCTGCCAGAGAGTAAGTGAAGAAAACCCTGTCTGATCTGAATAGGCTGCTAGGAAGGATTAAGAGGAGAAAATGCCACCTAGGTGACAGATAAAACAGGAAAAATAGTTCTGTGTTGTCATCATCAGAACAGATGGGGTCTTGTTTCTATGGCAGATGGGGTACATGATACATATGAATAAGTCTAGGCTCTGACTGCCGTTTGGCTCTTGCTGCTTCCTTTCTTTTTTGAGAACTTAAACCAAAACTCAAACCTGTAGTCCCTGCAGCAGACCATTTTTCCTTGATTGGCATTCAAGCCCTCCTGAGGAATCTGCCTGTACCAGCAGTTGCTCCTCAGCTCTGCCTACAATTTTCTTCAAAATTATTCACAGCAGGAAGGGTGTGCTTGTCTACATACTATTCTCAAGGCTTTGCTATGGTCTCTGGCAGTGCTCTCTACTTTGAAGAATTTGTTACGAGTGTCTGAGCAAAATGAATCCATTGTGCTCTTTCTGAACTGCCAGTGGATCTATTGTTTATTTGGTAATGCTCGCCTTCTGGTAACATAACACTTAGTAATTCCAAAAAACCTACTGTAATTTGTTATGTCATAAGGAATCTTACTGGGGTTTTGTCTTCCATGAAGAAATTGCCTTTCCTCCCAAGTGTGCTTTACACAGCTGCAGAGGAAATCTTTGATGTTTATTCCCAGTATTTGTAAAAGAGTACCTGGGAGCCTTACAAATATTCAACTGTTGGAGAAGGTAAAGGGATCCTATTGCTTATGGATGCCATCCTTGCCTAGAGAGCTAAGTGCACGCTTGTAGCAAAACGTCTTTCATAGGTGAGAAATTGAGAACCATCAGAAGAATCTTTGTGTGAATTGTGGCTGGTCACAGCAAACGCTTCCTCTGTAAACACATTCCTGAATTAATGACGGTTGAGTAACAAAACATCAGAAGACAGTATTAATGTCAGTTAATAATAAACAAACTTGTTTGAGGTGTCATTCCCTTTCTGAAAAGCTGAGCTGAAATTTGCTTCTCAAGACCATTCTCACAATTGCACAATGCCTATGTGCTAGTTGTAATCCTGTACTGAGCACTAAAGGTGCACAGCAGAGACTCTCATGCCTTTATAAGAGGAATGCACTGATTAAAAAATCTCTTTATGTGAAAAATTGTTTTATGAAAAACATTTCAAAAAGCTTTGATCTTGCCTGTTTCTAATCTGGCTTTTTCAGTTCAGATGTTCCTTTGTCTAACAGATAGCTGACAGTGGTATAAATCAGTTTTTTGTTTTGCTTTTTAAAGAAGTTTAGAAAAGCTGCAACATATGTGATCACTTAATGTTTATTTTGACAGGGTTGGAAAAGACATGGGTTTTATTGTTACTTCATTGGAAATACATTTGTTTCGTTTTCTCAAGCAAATCAAACCTGTGGTAGGCATCAGGCCTTTTTAGCAACTATTGAAGACAGGTATGTAAATGTCTACTTGCACAAGGGGATCACATGAGGATTTAACGTCTAGCATCATCTGACTATCAAAATAAAGACTCTGATCTGGACAAAAATCTTGCCTGAGGGGACAGCTGTCTCTAGATACAGACCTTCTCACAGTTTTTGCATGTATAGTCAAATCCAGGAATTCATTTTATAGTAAATATAAGTGATTGCTGTGAAATCAGTATTTATGTAGATGTTTATGTCAAGGAAAAAAATAGAATTATGTTTTCTATTTCCTTAATTGTTGTGGCTTGAAGATGGATTTTACTTGAGTGAGGGATGCAGAACCCAGTTTTGATTGTTTAATGCAGAGATATGGCTCTGAATTCCTTTCAGAAGGTAGTCCAAATGAGCAAGAGGATATAATTTTCACCTATTAGTTCAAATGAGCAAGAGGATATAATTTTCACCGATCTAAAAAAATTAAATAAGATACCAAATGATGACAGAAGTGCTTGGTACCTGAAAATCCACAACTCAGCCAGGGTTCAGCGTGTGCTAAATTTCTGAACAACCTGTGCACATTATTGAATGTGGAATATTGGGAAAATGAAAGTTAAGTTTAAGAAACAAAGTTTATTTTGCTTGCAGATGACTTGATGCTTTACATTTTCTTGTATTTGTTTTTATATAATGTAAATGGATATGGTCTAGTGGGAAAGCTCCAGCTGTCATGAATGGTAACTCTCTAAATGTAGGTAGCACTTGCAGTGTCATGAAAATAGTTTGACATTAATATGGTCTTCAGTCTACATGTTGTCAAGGGGAGACTTCTTTTATTTGCTTAGATTTATAAGAGCTGTTTGTTTAAACATCATAATGAACTACGACAGGATTTACCTCTACATAGGTTTACTTCCCAAACATAACTTCTCTTGCATGGTCCTTGGATCAAATTTGCAGTGTTCTTCCTTAGTTTGATAATTTAGTATCTACTACTCTAGCCTCTCCTTTTGTATATTTCTTCAATAATGCTGAGATTACTTTTCCAGTTTTGGATTTGTCTGAAAGAAGAAGTCTTTAAAATACAAGGGTACTAGAAACTCTCAAAAAATAGTGGTATAACAGATAAGTCATGTCAGGTTTCTTCTTTCCCACGAATTTCATGTCAGTCAGTGATAATGTCCCTTTCTTTATTGGAGATTTGAAGAGAAGGCAAAATACTCTGGTATTGAAGCTTACAGAATATCTGTTATGTAATGTTTAGTTATGTGCTTTGTTCAAGTAGATCCATCCAAACAACGCTTTCAAGAAGGTACAGTGGTAATTCTGAGAAAATAACAAGCCTTTTAAACAGCTTCTAAAAATAAATTTAATAGTATTAATTTTATGGTTGTATTCTTTTGCACAGGTATGAACAAGCCTATCTGACTAGCTTGGTTGGGCTGAGAACAGAAAGATACTTTTGGATTGGACTTTCAGATGTAGAAGAAAAGGGAACGTTCAAGTGGGCTAATGGTGAATCTGTCTTATTTACACACTGGAACTCCGAAATGCCTGGTGGGTATGGCTCTATACTGTTTAACGAGTCCAGTGCCCAAAATACATTGCTCATTAGTTGAATTTTTTTACTTCATTTCTTAACCCTCACTTGGTGGTATAATGAGCAATTGCTCTCCAATATATCTGGCTGCTTTCTCAAGCATGCAGTGCTGTTGCTTACTTCCTGCTTAGTGCTGAAATGATTTTTTGACATGAGCTTGGGAGGAAACTTCAAATTGAGATCAAGTTTCTGACTTGCATCTCTTCCGGGAAAGTCTGTGTCGGTATTACTCTGGAGGAGCAATCTCTGCAGGTGCATTGTGCCCTGCCTGCAAGTCCTGTCAGATCAGCCATATCTCATAGTAAACTTACTGTGTGTTCTGAGGGGTGTGAGATCACAGCATGCATGAAGCATCTCTGATCCCAGAGAAAATGGGATTGTAGGGAAGGTCAAGAGGGCCAAAGGAAGATTTATGTTTAATCTTTTTTTAGTTAATAACTTTGCTAGATTAATTGTTATTTCCTTATTTGCTAAGTTTTGTTGATGAAAACATTGTGATTTTTTTCTGTTCTAATGAAATTATAGGGGTGGGAGGTCATTTAATCTCTGACATGATCGCATCAGAAAGGGGATGGTCGTCAGCCTTCGAGGTTCTGGCATGTTGCATTTGCCTTTCAGGAGATCCACAGACCGTCTTAAATTTCAGTGCCTAAATGTTGATTTGAACGTGTCAGGTGGAGTGGTAAGGCTGTGTAGACCATGAAGCGGATACTAGACCTATATATAGCAAGTTCATTTTTGAAAATCATAGTCAAATTAGACAAATTTGAGAAACTAACCACATCTTCAGTTTTAAGGGAGAATTTATTGGATCACGGGTTATGATGTTGCTACAGCCAGCCTCACAGGATGGTTTAGGTTGGAAGAACCTTAAAGATCACCTAGTCCTGCCCCGTTGCTATGGGCAGGGACACCTCCCACTAGACCAGGTTGCTCCAAGCCCTGTCCAGCCTGGCCTTGAACACTGCCAGGGAGGGGGCAGCCACAGCTTCTCTGGGCAACATGTGCCAGTGTCTTACCACCCTCACAGGGAATCATTTCTGTCTAATATCTAGTCTAAATCTCCTGTTACCCTTTGTCCTATCACTACAGGCCGTGGTAAAAAGTCTTTCCCCGTCTTCCTTATAAACTCCCGTTACATATTGAATGGCTGCTCTAAGGTCTCCTCCTTCTCTTCTCCAGGCTGAACAACCCGACTCCCTCAGCCTTTCTTCATAGGAGAGGTGTTCCAGCCCTTTGATCATTTTGTGCCCTCCTCTGGAGCCGTTCTAACATTAGAAATGGTTTTTTAACTCTGTACAAAGACTTAATTTCCTTTAGGATAGAATACAAAGTTTTCTAAATTCTTATGACCCCCTAAATGCTGCTTTCGTGCATTCCTGTTTACAACCAGGAAGAAAGCCAGGCTGCGTTGCCATGAGGACTGGAATTGCAGGTGGATTATGGGATGTAATAAAATGTGAAGAAAAGGCAAAGTTCCTGTGCAAAGTGTGGGCAGAGGGGGTGACACCTCCACCTGTTCCTACAACAACTCCTATTCCCCGGTGTCCAGAAGGCTGGGACTCAAACAATCGTATTAGCTTCTGTTTCAAAGTATGTTGCTTGTTTCTACATTACAGTAGTTTCTATTTTCTGCATGCACATGCAGTAAAAACAATATACGTATGTCTTACTGTTTCATAAATTTATTTACAGATTAAATGCAGAGGTCTTGTTCCCCTCTATTGAAATGCTCATGGTTTAGATTATTCCATTAAAGTCTGATCTTCGAGTCTGATCTTCTGATCTTAATTTACCATTCATTTAAGACTGAATTTCCCATTCTTTTAAGACTCAATTTCCCATTCTTTTAAGATTAAAAGTGCCTTTCTGCTAATTGTTGTCTTGCAGCAGATACTCCTGTCAGCCATGCAGTTTGCTAGCTTGGCTTCAAGACACTCGTACAATCCTGTGTTTCACAGAGGTGAACACTCATAAACCCTGTATTCACAGTTTTGGTAATCCCCACAGAACAAGTTAATTGTAAATGAATTGCTTTGGGTAGCTGATGTTTCTTGATCTTGTGATCTATATGGTCTATTTTGTCTGATTGCAAAATGCTCTCTTTAGCCTTTTTCGAGAGGAGGGCAAAAGAAAACATGGCTTGAATCTCAAGAGTTTTGTCGAGCTATAGGAGGAGATCTGGCCTCCATTAATGGGAAAGAAGAACAGTATGTGATATGGCGTTCTATTGCGTGAGTATCTGTACTGTGGTCAGTGATTCACTTTAATTAGCCTTTTGATTTTTCTGAAATACTTAATTTTAGGTGTATGTTTTTGCTTCAGTGTAAGCCAATCTAGATTCATTATCTGCATCTGTGTCGAACACATAGCAAAAAAAGCAGAGCTGATGAAATAACAAGTGTTGTATGACTAGTGGCAATCACCCCGGAAACTAATGCTAAAATGAGATTGGCAAGATATCTGGTTGAGGCAACATTTATCATCTGACACAAAAGTATTTATTGTGGATTTGGGGATATTATAAAATTATCACAGATGCCAGTTGTTTTCATATAAACAAGGGTACAAATAGGATAACAGTCATGATATAAATCTGGTCAATATGTTGATTGTCATTTTTATGAACAAATCAGAAAGCAGAAGCAACTTCAGATTAATTTTTTCCTACACAGGGAATGTAAATATGGTTAGTAAGTTCCTGAACTGTAAAAAACAGGTGTGAGATTTCTGAATGAGGTCAAATAGTCTTAAAAATGTAACACCTGCAATATGACCTGAATACACTGGGCTCAATGAACTTGTACATCCCTGTCTAACTAGGAAGAAAGATGGAAGCATGACAGCCTTGCAAAATGCTACAACTGTACTAGAATCCCAGCTATGTACTTACAGTAAGGAAGAAGTCTCAGATGCTGCATTACCACAAATTGACTCAATAAATTCAGATAAATCAGTGAAGTGTGTCTGCTTGCAGGCAAGAGTTACTTCAAGGTGCTATTTTTAAAATGTGATTTAACTGCAGCAAGTAACTTTGTGGTTGGAAACCGTAAGTGCCTTTACAGAGAAAATGGAGACTTGATAACTGGAGCAACAGTAGCTATTGAACCATTTTACAAAAGTTTTAAGCCACCTTATTTTCAGGAGTTGGGCTGGATCTGCGCATTTTCTTGGTCAGTGTTTCAGTCTGTCTGAAACTGTCTGAGTTAATGTATGGTGATAACAGCTAGAAGTGGTTGCAGTTTAATTAATTTCCACCCTGGTTGATATGGTTTCTAACAGCTTTAAGGATTATTTTTAGAGAAGCTTATTAACTGTTGTGAATTATGGATTGTTAAAAATATTGTAATGCTCTTATTAGTTTTGGTATTATGTTTAAACTTCTTATAAATAGGACATTTATGATTTTGGGTTTGTTTGTTTCTTTGTTAGGAACAATGGCTATTACCATCAGCATTTCTGGATGGGCTTATATTACTTGAACCCTGATGATGGCTTTGCTTGGAGTGATGGATCTCCAGTGAGTGATTGAATTTTCCACAGTTGTTATTTTGCATTCCCTGTGCTTCTCGTGTGTGTTTCTGTGTAATTTTATACTTAATCATAGAATCATTTAGGTTGGAAAAGACCTTTATGATCATCAGGTCCAACCATTATCCTAACACTACCAAGCCTGCCACTAAACCATGTTCCTAAGCACCGCGTGTCTTTTGAACACCTCCAGGGAATCATAACCCTTTACTGTATTATGCTCTCTTTAGGAAAGTTTATGAATAGCAATTTCATTGCTTAATTTTTTTTTTGGCTAAAACATACTCAATTCTGATAAGAAAATGTGCATTGAATCAACAAGAAAATTAAGTTCATGTAGACTAAAAGGATGTTCTTATAAATGCAAGGATTTTTTGAGTAAAATAGTCCCTCTTTACTATTTCTCTTCTTTGCTAATTAGCTCTTTATCTGAAATGGCCTGCATTCCATGGAGCTGAAGGCAGTTGTTTTATGCCAATGTGGCTTGACTGTACTTTAGACTAAGATATAAAATTGTAGAAACAAAAGTGGGTTTGGAGATGTGGGTGTATTTCATGCAAGGCTGGTCAAAATATGTTGATGGAAGTTTACTATACAGAAAACAGAAATTGGAATTTATATAGAAAAATGAGAATATCGGTAATATTTTTCTGAGAAAAATGCCAACATTTTTGTTTTTTCTTAATGTCCTACTATTTTATTCATACAGGATATTTACTTAATTTAAGGTCAACATGTAGCATGCCCTATTATTGTTATTAGATGAATGTTACAGAATTTAGGTCCTATAAAAATGTCAATATTCTTCCAAGTGTGATTGGAAACAACTGGTATCTAAGCTGCAGTCCAGTTGCAGTCTGAAAAAAGTTTGAAATGGCAACGTCTGCATAGGGAAATTCTGGTTTCCTTTTATCTAGGCTTTTAAAGTGACAGTAGGAACAAGTTGTAGGTCTGTGGTTTCATGCTGTTTCCCCCCTCTCTCCATTATTTTCTTTCTATTTAGCAGAATCTTCACAAAACCTTTTCTGTCATAGGTGAGGTATGAAAACTGGGGCTTTGGAGAACCCAATAATTATCAAGGAGTTGAACTTTGTGCAGAGATCAGTGGTGATTCCAGCATGCTTTGGAATGACAGGCACTGTGATTATCTATATGGATGGATTTGCCAGATAAGAAAAGGTATCGCCTATTCCTGTGTATTAGTATTGTAAGAAAATTCTCAGTTGATTTTTTCCTTAACTTTAAGAAATAAAGAATTTCAAAACCTGTTTATCAGAATGTTTCCCTGTGGAATGTGAAATATCAAGGTATTAGAAGGTTTTCCATGTCTTCAATGCATTTAACAATACAGAGTCTTTGGTACCCTGCTGGGACTACTCACTGATCTTTCTCTATGATTTCAGAAGGGGAAATGTAGTACATGAAAAATAGAAAATGTTACTTTGAATATTCACATTCAATTTCGACTTTTCCTTTAGAGAAGTTCATGCCTTCTCCAGCAAATCCTATTTTGGAATTTTTTTTCTGAGTTGAGTTTCAAGTGAGTAGAAAATAGTTTGCAAATCAGTTCACATACTTGAATTTTTATGTATGAAAAATCCCTCCTTTACTTGGCTCAGGTACTGTTTTGTCAGCTAATTGAATGTGTAGTTGCAAGATGTAACCTGGTTTTGAGACAATTTATTTTGCTTTGACTGGGCTTTACATTCACATCTGGGTTTCTCACTACATTCGCTTGAGATCTGAGTTTGGATTTTTTTTTTTTTTTTTTTTTTCTGAAGACATCAAGACAAAATTTATAACTTAGGGAAATCTTGAGTTCCAGAAGCAGCGCATCTATCTGAGTATTTCAGAAAGCGTTCATTTAAACATTTTACCACAGTCTTGTATTGGGAGGGAAGGGAGCAAAATAAAGATGCCGCTTTAGTTTATTGACAATAAAGTACCAGCTCTGTTTTATACTGGTAAAATAATTTCCTAGCCAGAGAATTTCTTGTTAAATACCAATATCTATGAGATTATATTTTAGCATAAAATAAATTGCTGAACCTATAAAGACAGAGATCTCCTGTACTAGAAAATGTTTTCCTGAGATGCTAATGATGCCATCCAGGATGCCATCTCCATGATGCCATAGCAAAAACAATGGGAATTCTTTAGCCTGAAGTCTTCTTTTCAGAAGTGACCAGTTAATTTCATGGGATATTTTTTTGGTGAGATTTTATCTAGGGAAATTTTTAAGATCCAGAGAGAAGTTATTCTCAACCAGAGAAAGACAGAAAGAACCCCACTCTGTAGTAGGTAAGGCACCACGGAAGGAATCCCATTTTTTTTCCTGCTGCCTCTGGTTTAAGCCAGGATTAATGGGGAAGGAGGGAGTGGGAGTTACAGGACTGTCTTAATAGAGTTAATGTTTTGGGGCATAAGGTTTTCTGCGTCCGGTGAATACCAAAAAATAATTACTTAATTCAGGTAAATTTCAAGGTGTTTTATAATACCTTGCACATAAGGAATAGCCTCATGGAACAAGAATATGCATTTAAAATTGAATAGTGTGCCAAAAAAAAGAGATATTGCCTATGCAGTTCCTTCCAGTTTTTGGTGTTAAATCCATTGCTGACTGTAAAATTCAGTATCAATAGAAAAACATGCCTGTCAATCATATTAAATATTTTCTCTTACAGCAGAAAGTGTACAATCACAATAGATCTTTTTTTTTCTTACAGGGGCAAGTGTAAAGCCTGAACCAACAGAATCTCCTGCGCCCAGTAAGTGTCACTGCTATTACTGTTTGTGTGTGTGTATGTTTAAAAGCATTTTAAAAATTTTCGTAATGAGAATGTCTTGTATTTCAGGAACAATATAGTTAGCTTACCACCTGTCTTACAGAATACAAGAAGACGGAGGATGGATGGATTATACATGGAGACAAACAATATTATTTCAGCACGGAGAGTGTTCCTATGGAAGCAGGTCGGGAGTTCTGCAAAAGGAACTTTGGAGACCTTGCCGTCATCGAGAGTGAAAGTGAAAGAAAGTTCCTCTGGCGATATGTAAGAAAAATCATTAGTACTGTGGAATAAATCGTCCAAAACAAGTGAGCATGGGCGCAAATCCTTTTCACCCTGGTGTTCTCCCTACAAGTTTTATGATAGGGAAATTGCAGTAGCATTAAGCCAGATGAATATGAAGAACAAACGCAAGTCTTTTTTTAGATTGTTTTATAGCTGAGACAAGTACAATTTTGGTTTAGTATTTTGTATAGAAATAAGCACGGTAAGCATTAAACAGATCATTATCTGCTTCTCCTATTTGATGTGGCAGTTACACCACATTATAGCTGTCTGCAACTGGTGATGTGCTAAGGTAAATTGTAATGCTTACTTTTGATTGATCTGTGGCTTCATTTTAGCAAGTAATATACTTGTGAGCTACAATTCTGTAAGGCAGGTGAGTTAACTGAAAGTAAAGTTTATCAACAGATAAGATATCTTGAGTAGTGGATCAAAACAGATGTTGGCTTGTATGCAACACTCAGAACATTGGCTTTTGATCTTGTCAGTGTATCCAGGGTGTAGTCTACCTAGCAACCTCTTTTTGGTTCTCAGTTTTGTTCCTTTGCCTCCTTCTTCTTGTGGGGAGGTTATAATTATGCAGGGAGAACAACTTGAGGCATGTATTATGCCATGAGAAAGAGCTTTTAAATGAGATTTCCTAGGTGGCTGGAGTTAGTTGCCTGTT